AAATTTTCTCACTCTTATTTGCGAACGGTAGTGTCGGTATTTTGCCTTGTGAAAAATCGGAAGCTTTTTTAGCCGATCGCTACTCGGAAGACTTTAATCGCTCGCGAGACATGACGTATTTGATTTACTTCGCGACATTAATAGCATTCGCGACGAACGTAAGAAAGGAAAAAATAATCGAGAGTCGTAGGCCGCGTGCATGACCAGCGCAACGGAGTAGATATGCAAAACTTTTAAATACGACGCGATAAAGATGCGCGTTCGCCGACGATAATAAAATTGCGCCGATACCGTTTTCTATGTATAGCCGCGCACTCGTAAAGAAGACTCGATAAAATAATCGATTGTAAAAAAAGAAGTGTTATTCGTAATGGATTTTTTGTTTTTGTTTCGAGCATTATCTTCGTCTTTAATCTTCGCTCCTTCGGAAGGAAACAGGAGAGAGAAAAAGAGAGAGAGAAAGAGTCGTATGTAAAGATACGGCTTATTTTCAGCGGAAATTTTTTATCTTCCAGCGTCTCCGCGCGTCCAGCGAAATTACGATTCCTTCTCGTTGTTTTCATATTAATTTCTCTCTTTCTGCCTTCAAGCTGCGTCGCGAGTTGGAAAATTATTACAAAAATGTAGCACGTTTTCTTAAACGTGTTTAGCATAAAATTATTTTTTTTAATTAACGTAACTCTTATCTAATTTCGATTTTGAAATTTTCATATTTGTTCAGATATGATGATTTAAAAAAAATCGCGAAAATAACCTGCTAAAAATCTCATATTTTGCGTATAACTCCTTCACTTCAATTTTCAGTCGCGTTAAAGTTAAAAAATGCATAGACACAGTTGCCGCCGCGATGTTTTCCCCCTATACTCCATTACCGCGTCATGTGACTACATAATTTCCATAATATAATTACCGTCGCCGTATCGTTCCTGGGAGCGTCAACGAAAGGCCACCACCGCGGTCGGGACACGTAATATATTCGTTATACTCGGTATAGCGATACCGTTTCGCGGTGAAATAAAACGCAGGACTTCCCACACGGCGGTGTCGAGTGCGTTACGCAATCCGCGCGGAGGAAGGGGGACATGTATGCCCTCTTTGCTCTTATCTCGAGTGCAGTCCTCGCGCGGGAAGATCAGAGGTGGATCGCGAGGGGGAAGAGAAAAAGGGAGGCTGCACCGTTTTCGCGTTAGGCGTGAGAAAAGCGAGCGTCGACTGGATTCGCGCGCGTGCAACTTTGACTTTTGATTTTTTTCTCCCCTTTTTTTCGCTCCCTCGCGCCTTTCCGCCGTCCTCTCCTTCCCTCCCGCGTGCCATCAGGCGCGCTATTTGTATTTCCGCAAGGCCTGTAAGCCTTGACGCCACGCACCCGCGCACGCAGATTGCGTTACGAAACGATTTATTATCGCGTTGTCCCCTTCAAGGTCGGCGATGAACGCACCTAGCGCGGAAACACCGACAGGTGAGATCGCGATGGCGGCGGACGCTCGCTCGGCTCCGCAGCTGTTCCGCCAGGGAAGCCGAGAGGGAGCTGCCCGGGATGATGCCTTCGGGATCGCAACAGGATGAAGTCGAGTACGAGATCGAGCTCGCGGTTGAAAGCGCGGAGGCCATTCAGAGCCAGAATGTTCGAGTTCGTAGAAGTAGCGTTCATGTGAACTTCAAAATGAATTTTACAAACTACGAGATGATTCCCCCTCTGAACGCTTCATTCCGATCTGTATCTGAAGATTGCGCTTTTAGTTTGCGATTGATAAGCATCTAGATAGATAAGACCAGGTGATATTATTTCAATTAATTTCGTTTAACGTATTTTGCTCTCATTTCTTCTCGGCGTCCTTGATTACGACTTGATGCTGACAGATCTAATATCTCTTACTATAAAGAATTAAATTAGTTTCATTATCGTATTAGGGACACTAAATTTTGTTGTTGAACGAACGCTCAGCAAAGAACCGTGATTCCTTTTTTCCGTGTGTTGCGTCAACTGCGTTTACGAAAAGTCGGCCGTCACGTGCGTCACACCGGAAGAGGGTGAAAAAAGAGAATGGCCTGCGATACATATGAGGATGGATGCATTAAGAAACTCGGGAGGGTTACTTTAGAGCCTTACGGTTCGGCCTCGAGTTTCGTCACCCGGTGTAGGGCATCGATCGTACCAACGCCCGCTGGCAGCCCGGGGGAGAAAGAAAGAGAGAGAGAGAGAGACACGGAGTGAGAGAGCGAGACGGGTCAAGGGGCGGGGGCGGCGGTTCGGCGCCGGGGTGTCGTCCGGATAGAGTGGGGCAAGTGCACTCCGGCACACTGCAAGCGGACCCTATATGCAATTGGCTGGAAAGTGCATCGCTGGAGGGGATGCTGGGAGTGTGGCAGCGAGAAGGAGAGAGAGAAAGAGATAAGGACGGAGAGCAGGGCAGTGAGACAGAGTGCGGAGGAGAAGGGTTACGGGAGGGGGAGGGCCGGGTGCACACACGAAGTAGACATATAGGTCAATGTCGGGACACTCCTGGTGCACTGTTTAGCACGAGTCACCTACTGACCTACTTGCCTCCTCCTTTTGCGTACCCTGACCAAGCGTACACGTATACCCGTCCTGGCTTCCCGGTCGCGGCGTTGCACTCCCGCGTTGCACTCCCCCGGTGTCACCCCTCCCCCCCCTCCCGGTCTCCGATTCAACCACGAATGTGAATCCCGCGGTCTGTCTGGAGAGATGCATTCGTCCGCGTTCACGCAAACCTCGTATTTAACTTCACTCGGCACGCGTGCTAAAAACGATGACCCGCGCCGATAACGCGGCCGCGACGCGATAACGCGACAACGCTCCGACGATATATCAGCTTACTCGGGTGTCGTAGAAATTATGGTCGGCATATTCGTGTCATCGTTGCCGATTATGTTCCGCGGTACAATTATGTACGAATATCGTAATAATCGCTATGCAGCGGTTAATAACGTGATACAGAGTTTGCGATCAGTAATATATTAATTCTCTCATTTATATATATATATATATATATATATATATATATATCCCATCGTATACAAGCGCATATAAAAAAAAATCGGTTTTTGTAGAGATGTATTTGCTAAAGTTACGCCCAGGCAAAGTAAACAGTACTGCACTTTACTGCAATAAAAAGCCACGTCGAGAATTGCAAGGCGTCGGCAGAATAGCCGCTTTGTAATTCACCCACAGTAACCTCCGCGTTCTATTTATGGCGCTGTCTTCCGAGATGCAGCGCGGCTGCGTCGGCCGGCACGCAGGTGCATTTCGTCATCCAGACGTTTCCGGAGCGGAAAAATTTCAGCGACGCGAGGTGCATAAAGAAAGAGCGTGTCGCCTGGTAAATCCTGATCGGATGGGACGGCCGTGCGACCTATATTCACTCGTGCTATCATCCAACAGGTCCTCTTTGGCTTCATCAGCCCGATTCATTCTCCCTCCCCCCCCCCTCTCTCCCCTCTCTCTCTCTCTCTCACCGTGATTTACATCTCGCCTCCGCAAAATGTTCGCGTCGCTAAACGTTGACATATATTAACACATTTTTATTGCGGCACGCGGCCGGATGATACAGTAGTAGTAGCAGTAGTAATGTCAATAGAAAACATTTTTTTCGTTGTTTTAGAGACAATCCAGAGAAAATAGACAACCAGAGAAACCAGGGAATCGCGAACTTTAGCGACTCGTATAAAATACTTGAAAATAAGCGCCGATTGTGATACAATACGAATTGTTCATCCTTATACAAATCGTTTCGCGAAAGACGAAGACTTCGAGAATAATCTAATTTTGAAGACGTCCGGCGATAAGTATTGGATTCCAAAACGAGGCTGCGTCGTAACGAAAATAGAGCGGAAACGAAAGATCATACGCACGCATAGCGTGTCCCAGAATCACTGAATATCTTTCGTTGAATCGAGAACAACAACATTCGATCGTTTTCGAACTGTCTCGTTGTCGTGACGAAACACGCCTGAAAATTCGGTCTCACCGCGATGGTAGATCTCGCGCGCAGCTACACAAGCCGTGCGCGAGGCGGATCGATGCTCGGCGATCCGCTCGATGGTGCAAGCGGCAGAGCCTTGTCGGACGGACACACGCCGATTGTCGATTCAATCGGACGTAAACGCTCGTCATGTAAATGCTCGCTTTACTTATCGCCCCCGGGGCATCGCGCGTTTCACGCTCGCCCACTAATTGGGGGAGTGCCCCGGGGCGAATCGAAGGTAAAACCGATCGCGCTCGCCACACACGTATGTATAATAATAGCGGCCGGTTGCTTAGCAGTAAAGCACTGTGTATATTTAGCAGGCGACGAACTTTACGAGGCTGCTTATATATATGTCGAAAGAATCGGTCGCCCCTCTCGTTTACGCCAGTCGCGCGCGCGGTTTTACGTGACGAGGCTTCATTTCGCCGATCACGCGGCGGGAATGTCAAGGCCGCGCGGCTTCGCGCGATGCAATTTTCAACCGAAATGCAACCCCTGACGTAGGGCGAGGCGAGAGGAAATGGAGAGGAGGGAGATAGCTTTTTCGCCCGGGAGAGGCGAAAAGGAAATCGCGCGCGTGCCCGAAATTGGGTCAAGTGCGGATAAATGTGACGCAAGGAGCAGAGCAAGGACCATCCCCCTCGGATTTATCAAGGACAGTTTATACCACTGTTGGAAAATAATACACGATTTATAAGATAGATTACAAAAATGCAATTCTAATCAAAATATTTTTAGCTTTACTATATTTGTGTCAAGTTGTTGTAAAGTTAGAGAATCAAAGCAGAAAGAAATTATAAAAATAAATACACTGAAACGTGGTCATATAAAAATAAAATTGTTTAGATTCTCCCTGGATTTCTCTAGCTTTATATGCGCCGTACTATGTAATTATAATAGCGATACGTGTACTTTGAATTACACTCGTAAATCGACTACAGCTGCAGCATGCTTTTACCTCTTATCGCAACGTTCGTTACTAACATTTGTTTTCTTTGCTTTTATTTGCAGGTGAGTACCACGATATCTGTATCGGTTATCATGCACACCGGTCTTATAGCCTCGCCCGTTCGTGTTATACTCCTCCGTCACGTAAGTAGCTGCTTTTAAGGTGATTTACATGCTTTCGTGATACCTCTAGGACTTCATAATCGTACCATCTCCAGGTATACGTTGCAACGATTAACCGTGGACTTAATAAAGATTTACTGCGCTTCGCGAAAAAAAAAAAGAAAAATAACGCGCGTGTAATCCGCTTCTTTAAGTTTCTCTCGTACTAAAAACACTTTAAAGCGCCTACTTTCGCTTACATACAAATTCATATCTTCGATCTAATTCTTGCGCGAGAAGCTTTAGGATTGTATTCTTGAAGTTAGAGAGAGAAAATCAGGTTTAATGATTTTTATCACGCCGTCACACTTTTTGGAACGATAGATTACTTCCGTCGAGAGAAACGGGATACCGAGTGGCATATATAAATTTTTTTTTCGAGATCGTGCATACACCACCCACCCCCGTTCTCCGAGCGCGCATTACCGAACGGCCATCATCCTTAACTCGGTCAAGGTTCGCTTCATGGCCCGGCGAGAAACTATACCAGGGAGGAAGATAAGACGAGAGGAGAGGCGAAAGCGCGCGCGTTGTCTTTCTCGCCCGACCGGAAAACTCACGATATATATCCGTGGCTTTATTGAACGGCGGTATTAAGAAAATGAAATTGTCCCGGGAGTCTATAAAGCATCATCACGGCGCGAAAAAATTCCGGCGAGTGCCATCGAACCTCATTATCGTCATTATTGTCTGGAGGGTTTTTCCCAGGATAAATTGATTTAAGAGCGTTAGTTAGGATATTGTTACATCGATAAAGGTATATCGGTCTCTTCGTACGATTCGATTGTCCCAAACTGATGCTGCGCACTGAGGGGGCGTCTTCTCAGCGTCGGCAATTTACGCATTTTTCTCCAGCTATCGCATCCAAAAAAGAAAGGTTTAAACAAATAGAGTTGACGGCCTTTATCTCGGCCTCATTACACCGTCGTTTGCATTTCGATTAAGCCGCGTACAGTGTTATAATATATCGCGACAGCACACGCGTAAGCTACAAAAACGCACGTGCTTGCGCAGATAACCGCTTCATCTATTTTTAGCCTAAAAAAAAAAGAGAAAAAAAATGCGAAGTGCGTCGCATCTTGCGATAATGAACAGCACTCTCCGTGCCCGACACACGCAGCCGTGTATGTTTGCGTAATTACAATGCGGGTCACCCGTTTTGGATCGCGACGAAATCGATATTTCCGATTCCAACGCGCCATTTACTGCGTGTCACAGATTATGCGTATTTTTTATTTATTTTATATTTCATTATTTAGAGTATATACCTGTATAAAAATCACGAGATACAAAATTATTAACAACGAACGAAGGTACGTTCGCCTTCTCGAAATGTTGCTCATGCTATAGTCTCTGTAATCAATCTCGTCGCAGCGATCGTAAATCGATATGAAAGTTAGCCGAACTTAAAAAAAGAATAGATTCAGAGAGAGAAAGAGGGATAGAGAGAGAGAGAGAGAGATGCAGGTCCACGTGTGCGCGATATTATTTCTCGTATCTCAGCCGCGTAAGAGAGGCGCCCGGCGCGAAATAAACGCGTTCCGGATCGGTCGCGATTCGGGTGAACGTACTATTTATACATCGCCTATAAAGACGACACCGCACACCGTTTTGCGTCCGTAGCACCGTTGAGGAATCTCAGGATCCTCAACAGAATCCGCCGTCGCAATGCAGTGGTCACGTACGACGTCCTTGACTGCTCTTTCCTCCTCTTCCTTCTCTTTCTCTCTTCTCTTTCTCTCTCTCTCTCTCTCTCTCTCTCTCGTTCTCACTCTCTCGCATGCAATACCGTCATCTCTCTTCCCGCTCTTCTCTCCTTCTCTCCATGGCCGCCTCTCCTTTCCACACCTACACCCGATTGATCATCCGTCCTGTCGCTTCTCATAGATGGGCATTATTTATAGCGTGGCAGCTACATGCGTCGTGCGTGGTCGCGTTAACGCGATCGGCGTTGTACGTGGATTCTCGAGATCGTACGAGGTGACTGCTTCTGACGCCCGGAATCGTGCGTCTGATAAACGCATAGGCGTCGCGTGCTCGACAGCACGGGATCGTACGCGATACTCTCCTCGAGGAGATTAATCGAGTCTCGGATCTAGCCCGAGTAACGAATGTGAATTTCGCCCGAATTAATGACTCGCGTAAATGTAATAATATATTACTCATTTTTATAATTACGATCGCTTGTGTCGGGAGCTTCCCCTCCCTCCCTCCTTCTTCCGAATGCATCGAGGGATTCGGGGTGACCGCAGCGATCCACTGTTCGAGCTCATTGAATATCCCTTTCGGCGTTGTTCTCGCTCCGCGAATTCCTTTCTTGTATTCTCTATTTTTCCTCGCTCGAAGTCGCTCATTAGAATTCAGGGAACGATTAGCCCCCTCTAAAAAATCGCGAGCTTTCACAACGGGCGAACAATGACGCGGCTGATTGGCGCGAACCGCTTTAGAATTAGAGGCCGAATTTTGCATTGTACACGGGCGAGACCAGACGAAACAGCTGCTTCGTCCGCGCACACTTGTCTTCCGTCTCCTTCGTCCACCAGGCTCGCCTTTTTCTCCCTTCGTCCGTCTCTCTTCCTCCGTCGGCCGTCATCGTCATCACCGCGCCGCGCCGCGTTGCCGCCGCGCCGCCGTCTTCGTCTCCGTCGTCGCCCCGAGTAACGTTTCGGTAGTTTCGGGATTCCGATCGGCCACGCTGGCTTTTGTGTGTTTCGGGCCTCCGGCATACGGCGAACGGAACGAGACGCGGAATACGTAAACGCAGGAAGTCTCCAAATCTGCGGGATAAAAAGTGGAGCGATCCACTCGACTCATCTCGGGCCGAGATCTTCGCGGCGAGGTACTCGCGCGCGGTGCGCTATCAGCAACATCTGACGCGGTTCATTACGCGATATTGCAAGTTTCCGCGAGGCACGTAACTTCTTCGGCGAGAATTACGAGGCTTCGTCTGCGCTGAACGATCGTACTCTCCCTCGTGCCTTCAACCGAAAACGCATCACTTAAGAGTTATTTTCTCGAGATGCCTCGAATGCGAGATGCGCAATGCAAGGGGAAAAAAAAGTCCGCGTCGGGATGCCCGCGACAATCCTCCGTTGACAATGGATCTCGATCGTACGTCCTTTCCATTTCCAGAGCGAGTTTCCGAACGGTTTGCTTGAACGAGTCGTCGATGCATCGAGGCGCGAAGACTCGTTTATGCACTTTGTAGCGAGACGACGCTCGATATATGTGTCGTGTAAATGCAGCATATAAGCTATAATGTATCGGAAGAAACGCGCGATGAAACTCGGAACGTAACCCGAGGGACTCGATATGATCCAGACCGACTTGATATTTAATATACTCACGCGACTCATTGTGCGACGATCGGAAGAGAGCTTGTCATTTGAATATATCGATCCGGAATGCCCGGAGTGCATACCTACTATATACACAGGGAGGCCGGAGCTGCATGCTGCAGCGGCGCGGTGCATTCAGAGTGCGTTTTGTGTGCGGCCGGGCTGTTGTCCGCCTGTGCGGAATTCCCGGATTTTCGCTTTTGTTCGCGCCGGTTTCTCTCTCAGCCGATCTCACTCTCTAGGGATCGCATAGAATTGACGGCGATGCGACGACGACGACGACGACGACGACCGGCGAAAACCAGTTCCGACGAAGAATGTAAACGGAATATCGGCGAGTCCAGTTAACCTTTTCTCGTCCTACTGCTGTGCTCGCAAAAATAAAACCGGCAGCGACCGGCATGCAGTTCACGATCCGAGCATCAATCGACGCTACCGAAAATCATGCGCGCTGCATCGAGATAATATGTAGGGATTGCAGGGTATATATGCAGGAGTTGGAGAGAATATTAAGCTTGTTGCATTTGCACATATATGTATTTATTGATTTCCCGTACAGCCTACATTTCATCTGTATAATCAACTCAGCTTAATTACATCTATTCTATCAATGAAATGAATTTAACTGTAACGTTCACTAACTTGTTGCATTTGTGTCAGAAAATTAAATTGCAGAAGTATCTTATAAATGCAATGTATTGCACATGCAGAGATCTACGAGAATTCTGAAATTGTCAAGAACTTTTCTATACAGCTCTCGATATTTTTGTCCGTTTTAAATTGTCACTCGAAATATCAATCGTAGCGCAAAATTAATTCGAGACTCTTTCAAAAATCCAAACGTTCATTCCGAAGAAGCGGAATTTAATGGAACGGAGTAGCGGAGAACAATGCCTAAATTAAATGGTGACGATAAACCGAGGAGATTCAGTTTGACCTTCGCTACTTGAGCGTTAACATTTCTCCGTGCGATAACGAGTCGTGCGTAACGCCGCGTATCGCAGATAAGGGGACCGCCGCGGATCTGGTGCGGAGAGATGGCGACCCAGAATTTCGCAAAAACAAGGTCGACGCACGCGGAACAACAACTGCTCGCTGTGTATACACGCGTTAAATATAATCTCGCGCGCGACGGTCTGCCTTTATAAAGCCATACGACAACAGCGGCGGCGACGGGGACGGGGGCGACGAGGGCCACCGATGGTTCTTCGCGAACACGTAATAAACTTTAAAGCTGGAAAGACGGCTCGCATGCACCGGCGAGTGCAGGGGCCCACAAGCGACGAGTAGGTGGCTAACCTTGACAACCACTCGCAAGCCGGGCTACACGTATACACGCGCGTGCTGCACAAGCACACAAATGATGCCGATGATGGTGCGCGATAGTGGTGGTGGTGTGGTGGCGGCGGCACCGACGACGACGACGGCTGAATGCCGAGGTGTGCGTTTCCTCGCGTGATGGCCGTGTAGTAGATGTGTCGTGGTATGGTTGGTCGGCTGGTTCGCCGGCATATGGGCCAAAGGCACACTGGCCTGTGGCACATCGACGATGCAAAAAAACCGACGGACTTCCTCAACCCTCCACGGCCCCGGCGTGCCTTCGGAGTATCATAACATGCACTTGCCGGCCATATTAATACGACCGTCACCGGCGGACGCTTTTACGAAGCGTATATATCTCGGAGTAAACCTGCGACGAATTATTGTTATCTGATTTTATCTGTCGGCAGATATAATTTGCACAGTCAGTGTGTCTCTCTCTCTCTCTCTCTCTGACAATAATCGGCGGTACAAATATTATATATATCGATAATTAGTGCAAATCTACGACCTATCCTCGTTGTTTTCTCGAAGACGAGACTGCGACGGCTTTCTCCGACGTTTTCCTCTCAAATCTCTTCTCACGCTGAGAATTTTTTATTCGCGAAATTCCCACGGTTGCGTGCTCCCTTAAGCTCGTTTCGAGTGTACGAAGTTGTACGGAGTGGGCCTCCACACGGGTTATCTCGATTTCCTGCATATCACGGCGGTTCGCCGAACTATTTTTTATGCAAATAACGTAGATAACTCGTCGGCCCCGGCGCGGTGCGCGCGCGCTACGCTCGCGAAATACAGGTTTCCGTCCGGGCGCGTTGCAGCGGCTCTTCGGCGGGGCTTCTTAAAAAAAAAAAAACGGGCTCTCCTCGCCCGTTGAGGACAGGCGGGCGTGCCTAGGATGTTGCCATGGCGAACCAACCTATCGACGGCATCGAAACAGGTGCGGCGCAGGTTGCCTCGCTCGCTGCGCGACGCGGTCCACATCTGCGAATCTCCCTCTTCCTTTCCGAGGGAGCGCGAAAATATTCTAACGTAGACAGAAGTGTAACCGCGACCGAGCGAGTGTGCCGAGCCGAGCCGAGCCGAGCTCCTTATCAATGTTTGTCGAGCTTTCGTAAACAACCGGATATATCGGAATTGTAAAGAAAACGGCGGATTGCATAAACACTATTGGAAAAGAGAAAAAAAAACGCATCGCGCACACACGTTTCCTCATAGTCATTGTTGGGAGACCCCGTCGCTTTTGTAAAGATGTAAAATTGTTACTACTAAGCACGGCGGATTTTAAAGAAACATGAATGCGATCCGGCGAAGATAGCGAAATTTGCATGTTAAAGGATATTTGTCACTTGCCATTGTGAAAGATACGCG